AATGGTACACTCATGTGTAACGATAGGGGGTGTATCTTGTACTTGTTCTGATTCTATGTCACATTGCCTAGATAGGGCATCAACTTTAACGTTCTTAGGACATGGTCTGTACGTGATGATAAAGTTAAAGCGTGACAAGAACAAAGACCATCTAGCTTGTCTAGAAGATAGCCTTTTAGCATCTCCAATACATGCCAAGTTTTTGTGATCAGTTATGATGTTATGATCAGGAGGGTGTCCTTAGAACGTTCCAAAAGATGTCGCCATTCTTTCAGAGCTAGTATAATGGAGAACAATTTTCTCTTACCAATATCATAGTTACGCTCCGCTGGAGACAGCATTCTAGAAAAGTACCCACAAGGAGGCAAAGGGGTATCCTGACTCTCCCTCTGAGAAAGAACAGCCCCTACCAATGTCTTAGAGGAATCTTCATCCAGTTTGAAGGATTTTCTAGTGTCCTGATATACCAGTATGTCAGCAGAGGCGAACAATTTCTTAAGAAGCTCATAAGCCTCTCTAGCTTCTTTAGACCATATCGTACACTTGGCGCCCTTATGTGTCATAATGGTGATGGGGGCTATTACAGTAGAGAAACCTTTGATAAATCTCCTATAGTAATTAGCAAACCCAATAAACCTTTGAATTGTTTTTAACCCATTAGGCAATGGCCAGTGTAGAATGGCTTCTAGTTTACTAGGGTCCATCTGAAAACCAGAGGCCGGAATATTATATCCCAAGAACTGTACCTCCGTCTGGTCAAATATGCATTTCTCAAGTTTGCAGTATAGCTTGTTTTCTGGCAAAGTTTGCATTACTTGCTTCACATGCCTGTGATGAGTCTGGAGATAGGGGGAATAAATGAGAATATTATCCAGATATACTAATACAAAAGTACAAATGTAGTCTCTGAGAAAGGATTCCCCTTTGAAGAGCCGCCTTACCGGTGAAACGCGCGTTGGAGCTCAGCTGCACTCTGTACCCTTAGCTATAATTTACCCCTTACCTACTCTGACTCTGTCACCATACTCACCTCAGATATTCACTAAATATTTCAGGAGTTGCTAGGGAAGAGTTCAGTTAGTGCATTTCTAGCTATGGTTATACTTGGGAAATCGACAGCTTAGTTTTATATCAGGTGCCTTGAAGGCACAGACATAGGGTTTTATATATATATATATATTGTAACAGACCGTTTTGCACAAAAGGGGTAAAAACCGTTTAGGCGATCGGCCCCCTTTCCAGAGATGCAGGCACAGCTACTGCAGAACACCAAACACACGAACCGCCAATAAGTGAATGCTCCAAACTCCCGAACGGCATCCAATATAGCACTCCAAACAGACGAACAGGAACCATACGACTTGCTGCTAGCAGACAAATAGGAAAAGCATCCAAGCGGCTTACACTCCTAGCAATCAGTCTCTATCAGCATTCAGTAAATCCCCCAAAGACGAGACAAGGCTCCATGTTGAGGGTCAAGCAGTGGTCTGTTTAATGAGGGCTACCTGCCCAGTATTTATGCAGGTCTCCCACCTGGTGGACACTCCCCTAGGGGACCAAATGGGAGACTGTGACAAGGGACAGACAAGCAGACAAATAGGACACACAGTCACATTATATTCCCACAATGCATCCTGGCTTCCTCCCATCTGCCCTGGGAGATAATTGAGAAGTAATTCAATTATCTCCCAAGACAAAGGCAAATCTCCATTATGCATGTGGGGATACTAAAACAAGCATTACTGTTAAAATATACCAGGTAGGTCCCCCCTTATTGTTAATTTTAAGGCCCCCACCCACTGCTTTTACATTAAAACTATACATTTAACATATCCCCAGATAGCTCAGGTCTGAGCGCACATTATTAAGTCAATGGCGCTCAGACCACAAGAATACAGTTTAATCGCCATGGAGCCAAAGTCTTTAATTCCACGAACAGGCTCCATGGCAGGCTATCTGGGTACTTGCACACCGAATACAATTGCAGCACTAAAAGTCCCGAATGCTCCGTTGTTCGGTTCCCGAACGGGTTTGCAGACTTCCAGCCTCAGCGGGGCTTGTAAGACAAAAGTGTCCGCTTTTGGTGTCCTGTCGCTGGGTAGAACAAGCGCTGGCTACCCGGGGAGCTTCCATAACACCGCCATCGTGTGGCGGCTAGGTGTAACTGCGACCACCCAGTAATTGTCAATTAAGCTGCGGTGAACCGCAGCTTCAGGGAGGTTAATTGCCGGCACACTCCAGCTCCCAGGTGGTCTATTCATTCGTGCGGTTGTACGGTAGATTGAATCTACTGAACAACCGGCAGAAAAGCACAAATACAGCTTTTCTGCAGGCGAAACAAAGTATTTTAACATGGGGGCCATAGTCCAAAGGCAGCAGGCGAGCAACCAGGCTTCTCCAATGCAATGTGGCGAGATTGTTCTCGTCACATATATATATATATATATATATACGGTTAGGAATCGACATTTATCCAAGTAAGACTTCTATAACTAAGTGGACATCATTAATAACCATTATATAGATCAGGGCTTCTTTGCATGATATCTACTGATCAGCACAAACTACTTTTTCATTTAAGTTAACCTACAAAACTCTAAGCTCAGATACCCTGGTTCATACCACAGATCATATTGAATAACTATATGCACTACTATTCTTGGTTGATTTTATTTTTTTTAGAGGTTTGAGATAGGAAATCACAAGTAGTTTGGTTTTACCAAA